TGTGTACACGGACGTTCGTACGTACGTACGTACGGACGGAAGTGACGTCAGCCAAGCCATGAAAAATCAACTCGATGGTTTACCTTTTTTTTTAAAGTATGGTGCTATTATCTCGGTCAATCAAAACGAAAGAATATAATAATTCGAATGATAAACACTCATTGTCTAGTCGAACATTATGCAAGTTTTTAATAAAATCCCAATGTTAGAAATAAAATGAAGAGCTGTAGATGACTTTAAATTATTTTTTCAGTTGGGGGTCACAAGATCTAAATGGTGGCTTTTTTAACATTACCGATGACATCAGATATATGATACAGGGTTATTATACCATTAATTAAAACGAATTTTCAAAGCCTTTACGAAATTGTTGTCATACGAGTCGACATCTTTAACTTGAGAGCAAAATCAAAAGAATGACAGATGTTTTTTTTATATTGATACTGCTCGGTGTTGGCCTGTTTTCGTTTCAGTTCAAGGCGGTTTTCATCACTAGTTGAAGTTGACTGAAGAGGAACTAAACCAGCTAATATATACGTGAACAGAGATTTAAAAACGGCGAATTAAGCTAGTACAAAAGAGCAAAAGCAAAAGCGAGAGGTGACTCTAAGGTAAGATGTGCGTGAAGCAAGTTTATTTAAACTAAAGAAACCTCTGATAAATAGTAGATTTTTTACATTGCGAGAATAACTGATGACTTAAGAAAGTAAAATCAAACTATCACCACCTTAGGTAATGACAACCTATTTTCGAAATGCTGGGTATATATAGAGTTTGGCTGTTGGTCCTCTTTTCTGCTTCGAAGGTTTTTCTCCTATTTTCTTTCCTCCAAAAAAATCAAATTCTTAAATTTAATTCGATCTTTGGTCTTTTACCTATAGCCTTACTCGGTTGTCAGTTATTCCACGCTGTGTTGCGACAGCCAAATAGTTATGTATATAATCACACTCCTGCCTCTGAAGTGGATGGATGGATGGATGGATAGGTGGATGGATGGATAGGTGGATGGATGGATGCGATAGAAACAATTAACTGCCGCCTTTCATATACAAAATCCTTTTTTTTTTTTAATTACTTTAGATGAATAAAACAATAACCAGCTCAGCACTGCTTGAGTTCATGAACCGCAGTCCAGCTACCATCGCTGTAGAGACAAGTATTGTACTACTTATTGGACTGATTGCCATTGGAGGAAATCTTCTGGTAGTAATCTCCATCTATCGTAATCCCAGTCTTCGTACCATCACTAACTACTTTGTACTCTCGCTCGCTGCGTCTGATGTTCTGTTTCCAGCAGTAGGACTACCTCCTTCTCTAATTTGGTCCATTAAAAAACGTTTTACCTTTGACCAAAAACTATGCACTATGCAAGCTGTGTTTACAACCGCTTTGGCCTACGTTTCCATCTATATGATAGTGTTAATGGCAATCAATCGATTTGTTCGCGTTTGTAAGCCTCAGAAATACAGGAAAGTGTTCAACAAGATCACATCTCTTTTGATGATAAGTTTTGTGTGGGTAATCAGTTTTACGCTAGTGACTTTAAGTATAACAAATGGAGACAGTTTTGCCATGGCCCACTTCATTCCCACTCAAATAAGATGTGGTATTGTTTACAACACGCAAAATACCTTCAGTAAGACAGTTGGAAATGCGCTCAGTGCGATTTTCGTGTTGTTGCCCATCGGCATCATCGTCTACTGCTACTTCAAAGTCTTCAAGAAAATCCGAGAACACAAGAGAAACATCGCTCCTGCCTCCAACCCAAGCAGCCTGGGCACGAGTGTACAAGAAATTAAGGTCACGTGGACCATGTTCGCAGTTTTGATTGGGTTTTGCTCGACATGGATTCCAGTCGTCATCGTCACATTGATTTCAAATTTTTGGTTGGGCCATGTTCTACCTCGCCAGGCTAATATGGCAATACCATTTGCAGTACTTAGCAGCTCTGCCATCAATCCCGTGATATATGGAGTAATGAACACTGCATTCAGGAGAGAGTACACAAACATCCTTCGCTGTAGATCTGAATAAAACCATAAATCGTAGTGCCGAAGATGAGCTAAAATGAAGATGAGAAACAGTCATCCATCGCGAATTTCCAATAACTGTAACCACTGATGGACAAAAACAGCAGCGGCAGTAGTAGCAACAACAGTAACATCAATAACAACAACATTTCTTAATTAAAGATATTTCCCTTGTGACATGTAATAGTTTATAAGTTTGTTTATATAAGTATTCTTAAGTTTTAGGCCCGGGTCAGGCACCATGCTTCACGGCAGGTTGAACCGAAAAGTATTATTTTTGGGACTGTACATTTCGCTTTGGGTTCGGCTCATGTGGGGTGCGGCGTTTTACCTGGGCCTTAAACAGACATATTTTATATTTTCTTAATTAACGTAAGGAGTTGAATTTCAATTGGGGCTATCGCCCTGTTTTCTTCTCCGGCCGCCCTTAGCATTGTATCTTGTGTATTTAATTGTATTATGTTTGTGGCAAATTTCAATAAACTGACGTCATGGCAGCCATGTTTGAGGGCAAAATAAAAGAAATTTTCTCATTTGAAGAATAAATTCTATTATCATGCAAACATATTCCAAGGCTTCTGTCCGCAAAAATAGCTCTCCGTGAAAATCCTCTATACGACCGGTATGACGTCAAATTCAAAATTTCTATTAAAAAAACTTTCAGTTTTTTACTTTCAGTTCTTTGATTGACGGTCGTTGAAACTGCTGAGACATCAAAATTCGTGTGTGGCACTTTAACGATAATGGTAAAATAACACTCGGCTTTGCTTACTTGTATCGGTCCCATGAACACAGAAGATCGTAATTAGTAATCGTAATTTCGGAAAACAATGTTGCTAGGAGATCTTTCTGTTCATTTGTAATGTAAATCGTTTGTGAAATTGTTTTAAAATAATTGTAAGTCAGAGACAAATATTTCTAGTAATAGTATGTACATATATTTGAATATTTATTAGTTTTAAAAATAAATAAATATTCAAATCCATGCATATACTTTTCCTGTCTTCATATCATAGTTGAAAACATGAGATGAACTAAATATGGACATCGTTAGCTTGACCGGATTCGATACACTAGTTTTGATAACTACAATAGCTACAATATTAGCACTCTTCTTTGCTTACCTGTATTGGAGTAAAAAGCTTGGTTATACAGGCGATTATAAACAAAGGAAACGTCCGCGTTGTAACCTAAGTGAACAGTCCGTAGAAGTTAAGGTAAAGTACTTCAAATACGTTGTTCTTTGTTTACAATTTTTTTCACCAATAAGGACGTAAAAAATTATAGCTTTTTGAGCTTGTTTAGAGTGATTTTATAACTTCGCTCGTGAAAGAACCGTTTTCTTTTGATAGTACTTTGACTGCTAGTCACTAAATATACGACTTTGTTTCACCGGTCAAATAAAATCAGTTCTTAAATTCTTAAATAAATTCATTCTCAAATTTTGCAAACAAGCTAAGCTAGCCAAGTCAAGACAACTCGAATGAATTCCCAAACAAGCTTAAATATCATAATTTCTAGATCTAAAAAACAATAACTTTTCTTTGATATGTAAATTACATATTATTATTTCATTCATTCAATAACTTGATTTTGTTTCATTTCATACATATTCATTTGTGACAAACAAACTCGACCTTCTCGGCCATGTGGTGCTATTTTTTCATCACAGTCTATCTCTCAATTCCTTCTCTTATAAATATTCTTAGAAAATACAATAATTGATTTTTAAAATACTAGAGTTCTGATAAAGAAAAACATTGTTGAATATACAGTATTTTTGTACTTTCGATCAATTACTAAAATTAATTAATTTTGGATCGTTTATTTTCCATCGTGATTCCTACTTCGTCTCCATTGTTGTTATTAGAGGAGATTTGCAAAATCTGCGAGGGCGACGTCTACCGGACGAAGTGTAAATAACTTCACTTTGGGGTTTCGAGCCTTCAAAATCTGTCTTCCTGTGGATGAGTGGACTTCACTGACAATGTTTGGAATGAAATCTCCAATGAACAGAACCCCAAAGAGAAATTATTATCACTTCCGGTTGACGTCGCCGTCGTAGATTTTGCAAATCTTAAAGTCCCTATTTTACTTGACAAGTATTTTTTATGCCAATCGTGTGTTAATAATTTTACAAGCGCTGACAATACTAACTAAGTGAACTACCAATTTTTAGGCCAATTGCCAGTTAACTGTTAACAGCCTATTAGATCAGCCCAGAAGTTGTTTCGGAGTTCAATAAAATGCTAAGTTCTTAAAGGTGATCTAATTCTATAAAACAACTGCACAAATTCTTCCCAAAATTCAGGATTCTGGAGGTGCAAGACGCAGCGCTCTCACAGACCAAATAATAGCTCGTTTCTATGACGACGTCGATACAGTCTACAATGGGTTCTTACGAGGTGTACGGCTATCAGGTAACTATGGCAACCATGTGTTACTATAGTAACGAAGCAAGGCAAGTTAGATCGGTGTTAATAATATTGTCGTTTACAGGTGGCGATCCATGCTTAGGTGAACGACATCCACTTTTGCACAAATATGAATGGCTTACTTACAACGAGGTACGTACTGTATTTTGTAGTAACGTGGACGATGAAACCAAGGTCTGAGTAGAATATGAAATTTTATTATACGACTATTACGTAATTTTACCTTATAAGGTCAAGAGAACTCGCAAAATATGGCACCGTATTATGCTAGTCCTGTCCCGGTTTAACCGGTTTAACCGGGACAGGACTAGCATAATACGCTCGCAACTTTTCGCAACTTTTTTCATCA